AATGTGTCCCACTTCTACCCACTGGATGGCGATGTGTCTCTGTTTTCTCATATATATATATATATATATATATATATATGAATATGATGTTTTTTTATGATAATAATAACAACTATAATAATAATAATAATAATACTAATGGTACTAATAATAAAATAGATTATTATTGTTGTCATTTTTGTTTTAAAACATTATTTAAAATTGATAATTATAATTTTTTTAAAAAAATCTGATATTTACAGCTTTGAAACCAAACCAGAATTCACGTGGAAAACAAAATCAAAACAAGCATAATTTTTAGCTGTAACTGTATTTTGTTGTCTCTTGCTCTCTGTAGGACCCTGGATTTGCTTCCTTTATCATCGACCAGCTGCAAGTGCCCGATTGGTCGCTGAAAGGCGGACATGAAGGAACGAGGTGTCAGGTGTGTGGCACACCTGCACAGCAGCTGAAACAGCAGGCACTGCAGACTCTCCAAGAACTGTACCCTGTTTCTGACATGCCGTCCCTGCCTCCCAACACCTTCCCTGGGCATCCCACCAGGCTGAGAACAAACAGCGTGGTCACTCTTTCCTCCAGACCTACCAGATCTAGGATACCTCACCCAGCGCACAGTGTCCTGCCTGTGGGGGAGCGGCAGCGTGAGCAGGGCTGGTCTCAGAGCCCGTCTTCCAGCGCTGGGGCAATAAAACCCAGCGTGCAGGTGACCATGGGAGGAAGACCTCTGACGGGGACCATCAGTTCAGTCACCATTCAAGCCCAGCAGTACTTGGAGGGCATGTGGAGCATCTCACGTGTCAATAACTTCCTGCCTCAGCCAAACCCGGTATACAACCTTTCATTTCTCTCCAAATATGAGCTCTTTTGTTTATGCATTAAATTAATTTAATGGTAATCAGTTAATCCCATTTACTACTAAAACATTAATTCTCACTGTGTTTAGAATTTAGAAGTGACCATGTTTATTCCCTGCAAAGTCTTCATCTTTCACAATAGGAGCTTTTATAGGGTGTAGGGGTTGAAAATAACAGTTGTTTGGATGTATTTTTGACATCTTTCCAAGTCAGAAGAGCTGCTGTTGCTGCCATACAGTGATTGAGAGTTATGGAAAAGTTCAATTTGAAGGGCTCTTTGAAGAATTATTATTCACCAGCATAGACATCAGTTGACGATTGGTCTGGTTAATTGAGCCTACAGCTGTCTGAATGAATCGCAGTTGAAAACACCTGCATAATTAAATCACATGCACCCAGTTATACATAGAGAGCATCTTTGAAACATAAGAGCACTGAGACAGTGTGTTAACAGTTTATGCTGTCTCATTTACAGATTTGTACACTTGTAGTGCAGTTACTCATTGTCAATGCACCTGCTGAATTATGAGTGAGTGATTTGGAAATGCGTAACACGTTGTCAATGAATGTAGCATTTGTGTTTCAGTTACACTTTACAGTGATGTTTACAATGAGGTAGTATATACACTAACATTTAAAAGAATAAAATGAGTAAGATTTTGTATTTATTTTATTTTATTTTTATTTTATTTATTTTTAAATTAACTAATACTTTTATTTAGCAAGGATTAAACTGATCAAAAGTGACAGTAAAGACTTTTACAGTGTTATGAAAAAATCAATTTGAAAGAAATTCTGTTCTTTGTACAATCATGTTCATCGAAGGATCCTGAGGAATAAAATATCACGGGTTTCCACAAAAAAAATATTAAAAAGCAGAACTGATTTAAAATGCGAAAAGAATAAGAAAGGTTATTTTATCACCAAATTAGCATATTCAAATAATTTGTTAGTGATCATGTGACTGGAGAAATGGCTGTTAAAAATTCAGCTTTGCTATCACTGGAATAAATTATATTTTAAAATATAATCAAATAGAAAACAGTTATTTTAAATTGAAATAATTTTTCATAATATATATTTTTTTATCAAATAAATGCAGAATGATAGTGTATGTATGCAGCAATTAAAATAATTAAACGGGGATGGTTATTGACTATTGACATTATTCTCATAATGGCGGAATATGATTATTCATCTGACTGATATATTGGTCTCAGCCATAAATCGATCGATCACTAGAATGCAGGTTGGCAGATTGACAGCTTGAGGAGTTCATTTTATTACTCCTTAATTTCATTGACTAGCTGCCTTACGGCACTGTTACATTCCACAGTGGACTGCTCGTGTACTAAGTGTAGAGCTTCAGCGTGTTAAATTAAACAAAACTCACCACCACAGGTGGTCAGCTGAACTATTCCTGACTGTCTTTCATATCTGAGTCTCTGTTGCATCAGAGGTGTGTCTAATTGTAATACATATAACCTCTTTATGTAGTATTGATGTTGCTTTTACAATCTTTTGCAGTTGCCTCTGATAGACCCTTTTTTTCCTGCCAACTGTTACCGCTATTGATGATAGGAGATTAACAATAGCCTGTGCATTTCCTATTTGAGTTAATGTCAACAAGTGCTTTTATTCCAGTGCGCGAGCCACCACTGAAGCTTTTAGCAACCAGCATGTGTTTGTGCACAAAGCAAAAAGCCTTGAATAAAAAAGCCGACCAACTGCTGGCCCAGTACGTCTTGAAAAACCAACAGAAGCTGTCTGCTTTACGCAAACACACAATTCACACATGTAGGCTTGCACAGGAATAGCTCTGAGCTCTATGCTTTTCCCTTGTTCAAAGACGTGCCTTGTATAATTTGGAAAGGCTCCTTCCTTTCATTAGATTGGAGGGATGACAATAATGCATGCAGTGCACTGGGAATTCAGCGGAGCCTTGAGCAAAGAGCTTTAACTCATCTGATTTCTGTGGGGAGAAATGACAAGCAGCAGGAGAAAAGAGGAAGAGACAAAGCCATTGAGATGGACTGAGTCTGACAGGAAGTCTTTGGAGGGGTCTTGTGTTCTGTGAAGTAGATTTTTATGTCTGTGCTACTTGGTAAAGGCACATCACTACTTTTGAAGCAGGTGAGAGTTCCTGGAAAGCAAGAAGTGAAACGTCAAATGGCAAGAAACACTTTGATGCAAAGTTTAGGAGCATCACCATCAACACAAAATTTTGACAGCTATCAAGTTTAGATTCAAACGAATTCTTGAAATGCTTAGACCACATGTGGGTTTTTTTTAACATGTGCTATGGTAACACTATTGCATTTTTTTTAAAGGGGTGGTTCATTGCAATTTCACTTTTTTAACGTTAGTTAGTGTGTAATTGTTACGGGCTGACGAGACTTGAGACGTGCGGATCCATATGCAAGCTTTATTTTGGAAAAGACAGAGACGTGGTCATGAAACAGGCATGGGTCAGATAAAGGCAGACAAGTATATGGCGGGCAAAACACAAGAATAATCCTAGGGCTAGCGTGGGTCGACGATTGGCAGACAGAGTCACAGGGGCAAGGCTAAAGGGAGAAATCCAGGAAAACAGGCGAAGATCAAAAACGGCTAAGGCTAAGGCTAAGGCTAAGGCTAAGGCTAAGGCTAAGGCTAAGGCTAAGGCTAAGGCTAAGGCTAAGGCTAAGGCTAAGGCTAAGGCTAAGGCTAAGGCTAAGGCTAAGGCTAAGGCTAAGGCTAAGGCTACTGTAGTGTAGCTATCTGAGATATGCGCTAAACAATACTCGGCAGAAGGAAGGGATCAGAGTGAGTGTTAAATAGTGAGGGAGTGATATGAAACAGCTGGGTGCAATCAGTGTTACCAGCTGTGTGCAATCCGTGCTGAGTGCAATCAGTGCAATGAATGATGGGATATGTAGTCCGGGGTGATGTGCAACAGTGTGTAGTGCGAGAGTCAATGAAATCGGAAAGGGTGACCTCTGATGGCTAGCAGAAGGAAGTTCATGGACCGGATTCGTGACAGTAAAATTGCTGTTTGAGCATAAACAATATCTGCAAAGTTACGATATCGTCTTTTAAAATTCTGGCAGTTTAATGCCTACTAAAATGGCTTGAAGGGACTACAACAAGTTACTTCCCGGGGTTTGTGTCATTACAAACCCAGATAAACCCCGCACTTGGGAACATGCAACAAAGGGGGTGGGGCCATGCTGCGCTGCTTTAGAAAAGAGGAAGAGAAAACTAGGGGTGCACGTAAAAAACTATTCATATATGAATCGCGATTCTGTCTTCTAATGATTCTAATGGATTCACAAGTTTCAAAATCAATGTTCTAAAGCAGCGGCTCTTAATCATGTTCCTCGCATCCCCCTGCTCTGCACACGCTCTGCATCTCTCTCTCTCTCTCTCTCTC